GGTTGTCATTTTCATCAATTATGTCTATTTGCACCGATGAATGACCCACTAGTTCTGGATTCCCTTTGTCTTTAGCACTAACATCGAATCTGTATAATTTATTAGATTCGTAGTCGATGTTTCCTAAAACTATAATTTCTCCCGTGTCCGGTTTCAAGGCAAACATTTTTCTCACAGGCTCGGGTGTATGGACGCCTAGAAAATATTGTAACTCGCCATTGTCACCTTCATCTAGATCAGTGGCTTTTATTGTTATCACAGTTGAACCGACAGGAGCAGCTTCCCGTAGGGATGATTTGTACATTGGCAAGTCAAATTTTGGAGCATTGTCATTACTATCAAGAACATTGATTTGTATTACAGTAGTACCAGTTTTTGCAGGATCGCCGCCATCTACGGCAGTTAAAATTAGTTTATGGGCAGATTTTTTCTCTCTGTCAAGTGGTTTATCGATCACAAGCTCTGGTACTTTTCTTCCGTCCGCAAGTGTTTTTACATTTAATCGAAAACATTCGTCATTACTCAAAACATATGATTTTAAGCTATTTTTCCCAACATCCAAATCCTCGGCACTCTCAAGCGGAAATCGATCTCCCAGTGTGATAGATTCAGCGATTTCCAAAACACCTTCTGATGTTTGAAATATTGGTGCGTTATCATTAATATCTTGTATTTCTATCTCGACTCTGTGCAGTTGTAACGGGTTTTCTATTATAACTTGTAATGGTACAACGCAGCTAGCGCTCTGAGGACATAGACTTTCTCTGTCAATTCTGCTGTTCACAACCAACTCACCCCTTTCTGAACCAACGCTGAAATACTGCCCGCTGTTCTCAGACACTACCCGTAAATTCCGATTTGCGATATCAGAGACAACAAAACCAAGATCCTTGGCGATGTTTCCAACCACCGACCCCTCTTGTAGTTCCTCTGGTATAGTATAGCGAGTCAGTGCCCCGACTGTACTCCACATAAGAAAAACACTCAGCAGCCAAAGCGCAGCCCGTTTTGATCTTCCATTCCATCTGATTTCCATTTTCTCAATATATTTTCCCATTCCGTGAACATATTCCTCTTTTATGACCGATTTCACGTGAAATGACTCTTCATTATGAGAAAATATAATTTCCTGAAGGTGCACGTTCTATTGTAATCGTCTTCATAGCAGCTGGCGAAGCTACCTCCCTCTCTCTTCAGCTCTCTTCATTGTTCTGCTGCTCTGACTGGGGGATGCAGTGGATCACTTCATGCGTTCTATTATATGATTGGTGCAGAGCTCTCTTTTTACACTCTGTCTCTTAAAGACACACAGGCCCATTTTTATGTGCCAGTACACTGTCCTTTGAGTTGTAATTCGCCGTTTTATTTTAAAGTTTAAACTTCTAATTTTACAAAACCTTCATGAACAAGAAAATTTACATATACAATTTATAATATACAACGTTCACTTCTGAGTATCCCTGTAAATTTATTGTCAGTTATCTTCATACGTTGTTCTTTAACTTTTTCATTAGAATAATATTGTGAATAATACGAATCATATACAATTTTTTTAGCTTCTAATTAAACAAACATTTTTACAATGTTGTGAATTTCAAAGTTTTACGTTCAACTCAACTTTTTTTTTTCAAGTGCTAACAATTTATGCGACAACTTTTTCTACACCATATCCCCGGCACAAAGACAGAGTTCGCTGTCCAGAATTGTGGTGCTGAAAATGAATTTGCTGTTTGCGTCTCTTCTTTTTAAAAACAGACTAATGTTATCACTATGCCATTGCACCGACACATCCACGCTTACACTCACAACACTGGAGAGCCTTAAATTTCGTGTCATATAACTGATCCTCGCAAATGGCAAAACACCTGCACAAAAGATTACATCTTGTATATATATATTTTTTTTGTCTCACCTGTTGGCTCTCGAACGTCCACGCGCTGTCTGGTAATGACGCATCAAGCGTGTTCAGCGTGTCTGTAAAGTTTGTGGTGCTGCTGGGCTTAATGAGGGTGAGATCACTGAATTCGGACATTGGAGAGAGATAAGAGCCAAAGGACTGACTCTGAGACATCATATCTCCTCCCAGAACCTCCACATACTTAATGGGCCCGTCAGTGTTGAGCTGGATCTGCAGGTTTCTGTTGGGGTTTTTGTATCCAGAATCAGTTCGTCTGATGCAGCAGCTTGAACTTCCGATGCTGCTTTTAACGCATTTCACAATTAACGTGAACAATGTCAACACAGATAAAACTGATACGGTTCCCAAAGAGATGATCAAATACAAAGTGATTTTGCCACTTTTTTTGTTGTTGTTTTCTGTAGTTTTCATGTTATATTCCGAGATGGGCTCATAAACGCCTTCCTCTATCAGTATATCCACGGTAACTGTGGTGGACTGCACTGGTTCTCCATTATCCTTGATCTCTATGACCAGTCTCTGAGAGGAGTCATCGTGCTCTGAAACAGCGCGTTTAGTCCTCACCTCTCCCGTATGCAAATTCACACTGAACAGAGACGCGTCCGTGGCCTCCGCGAGCCTGTAGAACAGCCAGGCGTTATGACCCGAGTCCGCGTCCACTGCCGTTACCTTAGTAACGAGATGTCCTGCTTTAGCAGAACGGGGCATCCTCTGATTAGAGACCGAGCCCATGGATGTGGACGGGTAAATGACAGCAGGTGCATTATCGTTCTGGTCCAGAATAAATACATGAACAGTAGCGTTGCTGCTCAGAGATTGGGAGCCTTGATCTTTGGCAAGCACAATAACATGAAAGACCTTTATTTTCTCGTAATCAAACGAGTGCATGCTAAATATACTGCCATTTTCTGCGTTTATGTATACATAGGAAGAGACAGGTACGTCTCGAGTATTAGTATCAATAACTGAATACACAATTTTTGCATTTTCTCCTGTATCTAGATCTGATGCTGTCACCGATGCTAATATCGATCCTGGAGCGCTGTTTTCTTTAATGTAAACCGAGTACACACGTTCAGAGAAAACAGGAGGATTATCATTGACATCTAGTATATTAACTGTAATGAGTTTGCTTGATACCAGTGGAGGTGATCCAGAGTCTGATGCTTTAAGCTCAATGTCATATTTAGGAAACTTTTCTCGATCTAATTTTGAATCTGTTACCAGTGCGTAATGGTTTGCAAATGTTGGCTTTAATTTAAAAGGAGTATCAGATAAAATAAGAAGAGTTACGTTCCCGTTTATGCCCGAATCTAAATCTTTAACGTTTATTAAAGCTACCATTGTCCCAGCAGGCGCATCTTCTCGCACAGGTTTGGGTGAGGATGTGATGATGATCTCAGGTGCATTATCATTCACATCTAAAACATTCACCTGGACTCTACAATGTCCTTCCATAACAGGCCCTCCTTTGTCTCTTGCGCGTATGTCAATTTTATATGTGGTGCTCATTTCATAGTCAAGACTCTTTGATATTTTTAATTCGCCAGTATTCGAGTTGATAGAAAATAAATTCTTCAGTGTTTCTGGTGTGTCAGATCCTAACGAATATTCAATTTCACTGTTTAAGCCATCGTCTAAGTCAATTGCTTTTACTATCTGAATGATCGTGCCTGGGGCGGCGTTCTCCATCACTTTAATTTCATACAAATCTTGTTCAAATACAGGTGCATTGTCATTTACGTCCAACACTCTAACCGTAATCTGAGTGGTACCCGAGCTTGCTGGATCACCTCCATCAATTCCCATTAAAATGAGATGCTCTATAGACTGTTTTTCTCTATCAAGTGCCTTCTGCAAAACAATTTCTGGGACTTTTGTTCCGTCTTTATCATTTTTAACCTGCAAGATAAAATAATCATTTTTGTTTAAAGCATACGTGCGCAAGGAGTTTGATCCTACATCTGCGTCTTGCGCAGGCTCCAAACGAAATCTCGCTCCGGTTAGCGTGGTCTCTGATACATCAATGAATTTAGTGTCTGAAAGGAAACTCGGAGAATTATCGTTAATATCTTGTATATCCACGTCTACACGATAAAACTGGAGTGGATCCTCAATGATAACTTGTAATGGTAACACACATCTCGCACTTTGTCCGCACAGTTTTTCTCTGTCTATTAATTCATTCACAAGTAGCTCGCCATTCCTCAAATTCACACTGAAATATTGCTTACCAGACTCAGATGCTATCCGTAATTTACGATTAGAAATCTCAGATACATCCAAATCTAGATCTTTAGCTACATTTCCAACAACAGATCCCTCCTTTAGCTCCTCCGGTATTGTATAACGGAGCTGCGCGTCTGCATCACTCCACAAAACGGCGAAACACAACAGCCACAGCGCCCGCCAGCACAAAATTCTCCTTTGTATATGAGTCTTCATTTCCAAACACCATAAATGATCGTCAATTGCAGTATCCTGACATGCATCGTATGCATTACGTTTTCACAAAAGGGTGTGCTTTTTCATTTAAAGAGCTACAAATTATATTCCGTCAGTGAGTACACTGCAGCCAGTGCTGTTCATTTTGTCCCAGGTCTGTGCGTAATGGTTTTCAGCGTTATGTTAGGGGGAGGGAGTAGATCTCTTTGTGTGGTGCGGTCTCACTATTGGATGAACGCTCTCCACTCACAACATGCATCAGTCTTAAAGAAGCAGACCAAGTGACGCTCTAGTTCCATACAAATAATACACAATGCGCTTATATCTCTCCTGTGAAACGACAATTTTCTCCACAATTACTAGTTTTACAATCAAATACAAGTACATGTTAGGTATAAAATATAAGCTACTGCAAAATATAAATCATTGTTTCTACGAATAGTATTCTTTAATGAGATGCTCCAAAACTGTATGTAGACGTTTAAATATGTAAGAAATGGAGGCGGTTTTTAAATATTACTTTAACTATAACTCCCTTGGTTAAAATAACTTCCTGTGTAATACTATGTTGAAAAAATGTCGTTATACGAATTCGCATTTGCAAATAATGGCATCAGTAATGGCATATACAATATTTAAAGTAAAATACAAAATTTCACACGCTCACCTGTTGGCTCTCGAACGTCCACGCGCTGTCTGGTAATGACGCATCAAGCGTGTTTAGCGTGTCTGTAAAGTTTGTGGTGCTGCTGGGCTTAATGAGAGTGAGATCACTGAATTCAGACATTGGAGAGAGATAAGAGCCAAAGGACTGACTCTGAGACATCATATCTCCTCCCAGAACCTCCACATACTTAATGGGCCCGTCAGTGTTGAGCTGGATCTGCAGGTTTCTGTTGGGGTTTTTGTATCCAGAATCAGTTCGTCTGATGCAGCAGCTTGAACTTCCGATGCTGCTTTTAACGCATTTCACAATTAACGTGAACAATGTCAACACAGATAAAACTGATACGGTTCCCAAAGAGATGATCAAATACAAAGTGATTTTGCCACTTTTTTTGTTGTTGTTTTCTGTAGTTTTCATGTTATATTCCGAGATGGGCTCATAAACGCCTTCCTCTATCAGTATATCCACGGTAACTGTGGTGGACTGCACTGGTTCTCCATTATCCTTGATCTCTATGACCAGTCTCTGAGAGGAGTCGTCGTGCTCTGAAACAGCGCGTTTAGTCCTCACCTCTCCCGTATGTAAATTCACACTGAACAGAGACGCGTCCGTGGCCTCCGCGAGCCTGTAGAACAGCCAGGCGTTATGACCCGAGTCCGCGTCCACTGCCGTTACCTTAGTAACAAGATGTCCTGTTTTAGCGGAACGGGGCATCCTCTGATGAGAGACCGAGCCCATAGATGTGGACGGGTAAATGACAGCAGGTGCATTATCGTTCTGGTCCAGAATAAATACATGAACAGTAGCGTTGCTGCTCAGAGATTGGGAGCCTTGGTCTTTGGCAAGCACAATAATATGAAAGACCTTTATTTTCTCATAATCAAACGAGTGCATGCTAAATATACTGCCATTTTCTGCGTTTATGTATACATAGGAAGAGACAGGTACGTCTCGAGTATTAGTATCCAGAACTGAATACACAATTTTAGCATTTTCTCCTGTATCTAGATCTGATGCTGTCACCGATGCTAATATCGATCCTGGAGCGCTGTTTTCTTTTATGTAAACCGAGTACACACGTTCAGAGAAAGCAGGAGGATTATCATTGACATCTAGTATATTAACTGTAATGAGTTTGCTTGATACCAGTGGAGGTGATCCAGAATCTGATGCTTTGAGCTCAATATCATATTTAGGAAACTTTTCTCGATCTAACTGTGAATCTGTTACCAGTGCGTAATGGTTTGCAAATGTTGGCTTTAATTTAAAAGGAGTGTCTGATGACATGCTAAGTGTTACATTTGCATTTACGCCGGAATCCAGATCTTTAACATTTATTAAAGCTACCATTGTCCCAGCAGGCGCATCTTCTTGCACAGGTTTGGGTGAGGATGTGATGGTAATCTCAGGTGCATTATCATTCACATCTAAAACATTCACCTGGACTCTACAATGTCCTTCCATAACAGGCGCTCCTTTGTCTCTTGCGCGTATGTCAATTTTATATGAGGTGCTGGTTTCATAATCAAGATTCTTGGAAACTACTAATTCCCCTGTCACAGGATTAATAGTAAATACATCTTGAGTTATTTCTGGTGTATCTGCCGCAAAAGAATACTCAAGCTCAGCATTTATACCTTCGTCTAAGTCAATAGCTTTTACAGTGTGTATCATTGTATCTGGTACTGTGTTCTCCATCACTTTAACCTCATATAAGTCTTGTTCAAATACAGGAGCATTATCATTTGCATCTAGAATTTTCACAGTAATCTGAGTAGTTCCTGATCTCGCTGGATCACCCCCATCAATACCTGTCAAAATTAAATGATGTACAGACTGTTTCTCTCTGTCGACAGCTTTTTGTAAAACAATTTCAGGGACTTTTGTTCCATCCTTTTCGTTTTTTACGTGCAAAGCGAAATGCTCATTTTTATTAAGCGCGTAAGTGCGTAACGAGTTTGTTCCAACGTCAGGATCTTGAGCAGGCTTTAAACGAAACCTTGTACCAGTTAAGGTTGACTCTGGCACATCAATTGTGTTTATTTCCGACCAAAATATTGGAGAGTTGTCATTAATATCTTGTATTTCTACTTCTACACGATAAAACTGCAGTGGATCCTCGATGATGATTTGTAATGGTAACACACAGCTCGCGCTTTGTCCGCACAATGTTTCTCTGTCTATAATGTTATTCACAAGTAGCTCGCCATTCCTCAAATTTACACTGAAATATTGCTTACCAGACTCAGATGCTATCCGTAATTTACGATTAGATGTCTCAGATACATCCAAACCGAGATCTTTAGCTACATTTCCAACAACAGATCCCTCCTTTAGCTCCTCCGGTATTGTATAACGGAGCTGCGCGTCTGCATCACTCCACAAAACGGCGAAACACAACAGCCACAGCGCCCGCCAGCACAAAATTCTCCTTTGTATTTGAGTCCTCATTTCCAAACACAATAACTATGCGTTGGTTCCAGTATCCTGACATGCATATTACTCTTTTAAGCATTCACAAGAATAATGCAACATTTTAAAACGTTTAGCAGTCCAAATTATATTCCGTTATATATTCCGCTGCCAGTACAGTTCATTTTGTCCCTGGTCTGTGCGCAATGGTTTTCAGCGTTATGTTAGGGGGAGGGAGTAGATCCCTTTGTACAGTACGGTCTTACTATTGGATGAGGCTCTCCACTCACAACATGCATCAGTCTTAAAGAGGCAGAGCATAGCACATATCGAATATATGTAGTAAATAGCTCAATTTATAAAGCACATCCAAAGCAAAAAAAAAAAAAAAAAAAAAAAAAAACTGCATAACCAAGAAATAAAATCAGTATTCTTTAAATTACTCTTATAAACAATTAATAGATGCATTGGGGGCCCAAAACTAATATAACTTTACATAATAATAAAATACAATTATTCATTTATGGACAAATTATAAAAATCCTACATTTGCAAAATACCCCCTTTACTATATAATGATATCAAAAATTATAATGTTCATATAAAAATTAAATAAATCTATAAAAACACAGTATTTGCATAATTATCTTTTTATAGTGATATTAAAATGTCCATAACTGATAACATTTCACGTGATCACATGTTGGCTCTTCTATTTTGTCTAAATATTGTCTTGAATAAAATAAAAGTAAACACGAAATCACAATGTGGTGTGGACACATATTTGTACTTAGATACATACGACAGCTCTGAATATAGCAAACGTAATTTTTGTCTCACCTGTTGGCTCTCGAATGTCCACGCGCTGTCTGGTAATGACGCATCAAGCGTGTTTAGCGTGTCTGTAAAGTTTGTTGTGCTGCTGGGCTTAATGAGAGTGAGATCACTGAATTCGGACATTGGAGAGAGATAAGAGCCAAAGGACTGACTCTGAGACATCATATCTCCTCCCAGAACCTCCACATACTTAATGGGCCCGTCAGTGTTGAGCTGGATCTGCAGGTTTCTGTTGGGGTTTTTGTATCCAGAATCAGTTCGTCTGATGCAGCAGCTTGAACTTCCGATGCTGCTTTTAACACATTTTACAACCAACGCGAAAAAGGTCAATAAACACAAAACTGACACTGTTCCCAATGAGATGATCAAATACAGCGTAATTTTGCCAGTTTTCTTGTTGTCTTCTGTAGTTTTTAAACGATAGTCTGATATGGGCTCATGAAACCCGTCCTCTATCAGTATATCCACTGTGACTGTGGTGGACTGCACTGGTTCTCCATTATCCTTTATCTCTATGACCAGTCTCTGAGAGGAGTCGTCGTGCTCTGAAACAGCGCGTTTAGTCCTCACCTCTCCCGTATGTAAATTCACACTGAACAGAGACGGGTCCGTGGCCTCCGCGAGCCTGTAGAACAGCCAGGCGTTATGACCCGAGTCCGCGTCCACTGCCGTTACCTTAGTAACGAGATGTCCTGCTTTAGCGGAACGGGGCATCCTCTGATGAGAGACCGAGCCCATAGATGAGGACGGGTAAATGACAGCAGGTGCATTATCGTTCCGGTCCAGAATAAACACATTGACAGTTGCGTTGCTGCTCAGAGATGGAGAGCCATGATCTTTAGCCTGAACTATGATGTTTAAAACTTTAATTTTCTCATAATCAAATGTCTGCAAGTTATATATACTTCCATTTTCAGAATTTATATAGATGTAAGAAGACACTGGCACGTCTTTAACTTTAGAGTCCAAAACGGAGTAGGAGAGTTTTGCATTTTCGCCTAAATCTGGGTCATGTGCGGAGACTGAGCACAATATTGAATCTTGAGCGCTGTTTTCTTTAGCATAAACCGTATAAGATTTTTCTGTGAATATTGGAGGGTTATCATTTACATCTGAAATGCTGATTTTTACTGTTTTCCTACTAAACAGCGGTGGCGAACCACCATCAACTGCGTTTAGTTCAATGTTATATTCAGGATAGTTTTCTCTGTCTAGAGGACCGTTGGTAACCAATGCGTAATGATTAGATAATGTAGGGCTAAATCTAAACGGTAGTCCAGGCGCTAACGTAAGTTTAACTTTCCCATTCTCTCCTAAATCTGCATCCTTTGTACTAATTAATGAAACGACCGTGCCATTTGTGGAATTTTCAGGAATCGGACTTGAGAGAGAAGTAATTATTATATCAGGCGCGTTGTCATTCACATCATTAACTTTTATCTTTACACTGCAGTGACCCTCCATTTGAGGATTGCCTTTGTCTTTTGCAACTATATCAAATTTATGTAAGCTTGCTTTTTCATGGTCCAGTTGTTTTTTAACTGTTATTGCACCGGTTTGCTTGTTAATATTAAACAATTCTGTATCTGGTGTTTGGTCTGCAAAGAAATACTCGATCTCTCCATTTAACCCTTCATCTAAATCTGTAGCCTTGACTGCTACTATTTCTTTCTGAGTTGATTCGTTTTCATCAACAACAGTTTCATAAAAAGGCTTTTCAAATTCGGGTGCATTGTCATTATTATCCAAAACCACAACAGTGATTTCACATGTGCTCGTGCGCACTGGATTTCCTCCGTCAGCTGCCGTTAATATTAGCTTATGAACTGCCTGTTTTTCTCGGTCAAGAGGTAGCTTGAGTACTAATTCTGGAATTTTAACTCCATCTTGTGTTTTCACATTTAAAACAAAATTATCATTTGTACTCAGACTGTATGATTTTAACGAATTAGACTGTACATCTGAGTCAATAGCGATTTCTAAGAGGAACTTTGCTCCTGAATTTATAGATTCAGGAATATTCAGTACACGCTCATTAGATTTAAAATTGGGCGCGTTGTCATTAATATCTTGTATTTCAATCTCAACTCGATGCATCTGCAGAGGATTTTCTAAAACGGCTTGAAGAGGCAAAACACAAGGGACGTTGTATCCACATACATCTTCTCTATCAATTCTCTCATTCACAGTAAGATCACCCTTTTCCACATCCACAGCGAAATACTGCTTACCAGTCTCAGACGCTATTTGTAGTTTACGACCTGAAATCTTAGATACATCCAAACCGAGGTCTTTAGCAATATTTCCGACAACAGATCCTTCTCTTAGCTCCTCTGGAATTGTGTATCGAATCTGCGCCTCCGTTGTACTCCAAGAAATAATAAAGAAACAGCACCACCAAATCCTCCTCAAAAAGATCAGAGATTCCATCGTCTCTGACTCTAAGCTTTCGACCTTTTATCCAAATATTCTCAGCGTTTTAAAATAATCAGACCCATTACAAAATCCCAAGCAGTGTATCGATGACATATTTCTGTTTAGCGTAAGAGGTCCTTTTGATAAAAACGAGTCGTTCATGCGTTCTCTGAGCACAAAGCTGCGTAAGATGCCACAACCGTGGGAGGGAGTGGATCTCTTTGTCCAAGTCTGTAACTCATTGGCTGACTGTGCATTTCCCTGCAACCAATCCAGTTTGTTAAGTATCCTAAAGGGGTAGCAGGAGTGAGGCAGAGGCAAAGTGGAGCATTCTGTGGAGCCACTGATACAGTGAAGTCACAGTGAAAACACACACACACACACACACACACACACACACACACACATATATATATATATATATATATATATATATATATATATATATATATATATATATATATATTATTGCATTTAATATATAGAAGTATATATGTGTATATGTGTGCATGTGTGCACTATTTTTATTCACTTGCCATCAAATATTTTGACTGCAATTTAACAGAACTGTTGCAAAAACATTAAACGTGTGCCGTCAAGCGGCGACAGCAAGAAGCGCAGAAGTATATGTGGAAAGAGTGCATGTATTTCTCCCTCCCTCCCTTCCTCTCCCTTTCCGTCTCCCTCTCTCTGTTTATGTGGATTTTATTGTTAAAGGCGCTTAATATTTTTACATTTTTACAACCATGAGCTCTGACATTTTTAAACTCTAATATTTAGTCATAATTATCGCCTTTAAAATGGAATTGCATACATTTTTATATTAGCAGTAAACATGTTTTTTTTCCCGTACAAGACCGCATGATCCTCTTGCAACAAAGGACTCAACCACGAGCGGGGGGAGACAATAAGCAGCAGAGTGAAGAGTGTTTCAGCACCACGCGGGTGGACAGCGCCACACAGGCGGCCTGTTCTCGCAGCAGCACTCTTGTTTTCAGAAGGAAGGAATGCATTTCCCATGCTTTCCATTTGTTTTATCTTCGCTGAAATACTTACATGTTTTACAGTAGTCTTCTGAAAAAAAAAAAAATCTTTGTGGGCGTAGGAAAAAAACTCGATTTTGTTTTCCGCACGATAGATTAACAAAAATGTCGTGAATAAATTGTGCACTTACCTGGACATTTGAATTACAAAAAGCTCTTCTGGTAACAGCAGTAAATTAAGTTACAGAATAATTGTTCCTCCAGTTTGTGTGTCTGTGTCTTTATGTCTGTGTGTGCGTGCGTGTGTGTGTGTGTGTGTGTGTGTGTGTGTGTGTGTGTGTGTGTGTGTGTGTGTGTGTGTGTGCACGCATTATTTATTCACATATCATATAGAGCAAATAGATTTGGGTACAGCAGGGCTAACATTAATCATTTTTTTCCCTTTTTATAAATCTAACAATCAAAGTTCCTTTAAACTAGATTTTGAAATAGCATGGACAAAAGGTAATAGGACAGACAATTATGGAATTGGAGCAATTGTTATTTATGTAATGTATTTGCAAACTGTGACAAAATTTGCTATAAGTAGAAAGTATTTGATTTGATTTAAACAGATTGCAGGTAATCAAACTGAACAGAGCTATAGATGCTTATAAAATTACAGATACAATTATACATACATACATACATATATATATATATATATATATATATATATATATATATATATATATATATATATATATATATATATATATATATATATATATATTGCCGGTCAAAAAATTGGGGTATTGCGGTCAAGTCATGTCCTTTTCTTTTTTTAAGATTATTATTAATAATCTTTATACAGTTTAAGTCAGAATTATTAGCCCCCCTCAGTTATTAGACCATTTGTTTATTTTTTCTCCATTTTCTGTGTAAAAGAGAGAAGATTTTTTTAATCACAAATTTAATCACAATCGTTTTAATAACTCATTTCTAATAATGAATTTGTTTTATCTTTACCATGATGACAGTAAATAATATTTTACTAGATATTTTTTCAAGACACTTCTACACATGCTTAAAGTGAAATTTATAGGCCTAACTGGGTTGATGAGGTTAACTAGGCAGGTAAGGGGAATTAGGCAAGTTATTGTATAACTATGGTTTGTTCTGTAGGCTATCAAGAAAAAATATAGCTTAAAGGGGCTAATAATTTTGTTCCTAAAATTGTGTTTAAAAAATGTGTTTAAACTGCTTTTATTCTAGCAGAAATAAAACAAATAATACTTTCTCCAGAAGAAAAAATATTATCAGACATACTGGGAAAATTCCCTTGCAAACATCATTTGGAAAATATTTTAAAAAGAAGAACAAAATTTTAAGGGGGCTAATAATTCTGACTTTAACTGTATATAATTATTATGTTTATCAAGGAAGCATTTATTAAATGTAAAAAAATAGTGAAATATTTATAAAAATTTTAAATAACTTTTAAATAACTGCTTATTGTATGTAGTGCCAAATAAAATGATTACTCCAGTTATTATTGCTTTTATTACTTTTACTATTAATAAAGATAATAATAATAATAATAATAATAATAATAATAATAATAATGTAATAATTATATCTAATAATAATTTTATATATTATTAATATTAGAGTGACTTCTGAAGGATCGTGACACTGTGAAGACTGGAGTAATGAAGCTGAAAATTCATCTTTAAAACCACTGGAATAAATTATTAAATTAAATTATGAACTACTTGTGAACAGTTATTTTGTAGTGCAATAACATTTCACAATTTCCACTGTATAATTAATTAAATAAATGCAGCCTTGAAAATTTTTTTTTTAAAACATTTTAAAATCTTACTGACCCCAAATTTTTGACCAGTTTTGTATCCTCATTTTTAGGATTTCATTAGTCATATAAAGAAAAGAAAATATAATATAATTCTCCTCTCTTATTTGCATGTGAGGACCTCATCAGGAGATTTTTTTTGGTGCATAGAGTGAACAATTGGTGTTGGTGATCATCAGAGTTTAGAAACAAGAGAAGACAAAAGTGCATTGAGCCCCATTGTACCCCATTTCTGAAATAAATAAATAGATAAAACATTAGCCACCTCCAAATTTCTTATTGAAAATATTTAATTCTAAGAAATTGTTTGTGGTTAATATTTGCACTACATTTTAGAGGCAAGTGAACCTCTGGGATTGCTAAACTACAAAAGGGAAATTTTCTCTTACCTTTGTTGGTGAAACCCAGGTAAAAAGGCGGGATCGTCAAAATGAGGGAGAGAGAGAGAGAGAGAGAGAAAGGGAGGGGGGGGGGGGAATTACTGTTAGTACTGTAATAAAATGTTATTTGTTTGTATTTTATGTAATGCAGTTTAAACAGCATAAAATAGAAAAAATACAGAATTGAATAGGTATGAGGTAACTTAAAATGTT